CAAAATTCTGATTAATTTCAATTATTCTGACACAGTAAAAATATAAAGCTTAAATCTCGATGGCTGACGGAATTGAAAAAGTTATGATGTACGATCGTATCCCACTTTGTGATTAACGTCTTAGAAATTGCTGGGTTAAAAATACCGTTCTTTCTATTCGATATTTTTCCCTCTCAATTTAGGAAAATTATTCTTAAATAACAAGAATATGATGTTTCGTGAAACTATATAAAATTTCCTCATATGTAAGCAAGTTTAATCTTCATATAAAATAATATATTCTTGCTAATATTTTTCCGTGTAATATGTTTCGAGTATCTGCACGTATCCGCGGAGCGTGTCGCGAGTCGACGAAGAAGACAGTTGGCTAATTTCGGCTGAGCGAGTGCTATTAAAATTGTCATCGATCTCGCGAAAACGACGACGATTCGTTCGATCCTATCGAAAATAATATTACGTCGGCAAATCTCGATTCGTCTTTGCAGCTTCCGCTGGTCGCTTCGTCGAACCGCTATCTCTCCCGTGATGACCCTCGCATCGGGCGATACACGCCCGCATCGTTTAATAGCTTCCAATCGAAACCGCACAGTGTGTGCCGTCGCGATGAAACTCTCCCAGTATTAGACGCGATGTCGTTTCCTTTCCTAAGGAGACGACACATCACGGCGAGCGCATATACGCGCGGCGCATTTTGCGAAACCGGTTTTCGGAATTCCATAAGGTCTGGAGTGCACGGGAGCGCTCGTAAAAATCCTCGCTTATCGTTGTTTTTGCGGACACGCAGACGCGAATGAGCATCTCCACACCGGTGTGGCGCGATTAGGAACTGTTAACGCTTCGGTGTATTTAACTAATGACGAGCGTCGTCGTCGGTGGAAATTACGAGCCCGCAAATTGCGGACTCGCGCCGGCGAAATTTGCGCGCGTGAGGAATAAAAAAGAGAGACCGCAACAACGACTTATGAATGGATATGAGCGTCGCGCCGGCGAGAAGGCATCATCTACCGGTCTGGCCTTTCCCTGACTCCTCGCGGTGACCGCACACGACCGAGGATGCTGAGTGCAGGAACCTTATTCGATATAAAAGTTCGTCCCGTTTTTTGATCAGTTCTTCGCTAGAAATTTTTATGAGCACGATATTATACAGCTACTATAGGAGAGATGGCAAGTCATCGAACAAAACAGCGCATTAAGTTAAATTAATCCTCATAACCTAATATATACCATAATTCTTTAATTCTTCTTTCGGTTAAAACGACGCATATTCACACGGAGAAAAATAATTTTGCCGTTGCAACGAAACCATCGTTGCTACTTGCACATTCGTTGCGACAGCGATGTAACTTAACCAACGTAATCAAATTAACGAATTATTCGCAACTGGAGCAGAAACAGTTTTGTTGCCAGGATAGAAAATATTCTGCTGAGTGAATTTGTCCTCAGGACATGCTTAATTTGCTGTTACAACAAAATATAGCGTCTTCCTACATTTGCTAATTTGTTTTTACAGCAAAATAATTTGTGGCTTCAGAAAAATAATTCAATGAATGGCAATTAGTATTCTTAACAAATCATTTTACTGTTCATATACTAACTGACAGACTTTGCGAATTAGCATAAAATTCGTGCTAGCAAATTATATTTCTCCGTGCAATTGATCGATTGCATCAGATGTGTAAATCAGTTCGGTGCCTTTGTTACCGGACAGATCAAGATTTATTTATCGATGAAAAGTGTGCAATTTTAATTAAATCAAAGTAACTACATATAATAACCGGGAAGCTCCTCCCTGTGCTCGTTTTCCTCCCGCGGCTCACCGGATGTCCCACCCTCGCGGTTTTAACGATGCATACGACGCACCTGACCTTCCTGATCGTTCGAAAGCGCCGATCGCTTCCTTTCGCGGCGAACGCAACGGAAGAAGAACGCACGCTTATAAATCGAGTCAGGACAGTCTCGAGGCGGTCGTGCTCTCTCGTCTCGATCGCACTCTGGCAAATGGTACAACGCAGCTCTCGTGTCACTGGCGCGATACATGCGACCGAACTACGCGATATCACGGGGACAAAAATGTCAGATCGCGAGGGAAAGAAAGAAATTAAACACAAGCTGTGCATAATTTGCGATCGAAAGTGTCGAAAGATCTATTCTGGAATGTGTGCGCGCGCAAGAGGCGCGGCAAATTCAGAAATTTACGCGCCGATGAAACTATTCGAGCGTGAAAAAGTGAGCCAGCGTTTTGCAATGGGTGACTTGACGCAAGCCCGGAATATCATACTGACGTAATCATACGTCGTGTACGTATGGTGACGACGACTTCCCCGTCATAAACATGACCGCCGCGCTGTATCAATCCCCATAATGCCTGACGCAATATCTAGAATTACTTGAATCTGTCAATCGCTTCGTGATTTCAGGCACGCAGTCATCAACCCATCCCAAATTGCAATTCCGTGAATTGCAGCATTCCCGGTTGTACCTTTCAAAGCATCAGGAATGCGCAAATGAATTGCCGTCATGGTAGCTTGGACATTATCCCTCGTCTGCCGTCGTCACCCACGAAAATGCAACTCGTGTAATAAAAAACTAAATTAAATTCGCGCTTTGATCTCGCGAGAACGCATAAAACGTCCTCTAATTCCGACGCATAGTTGCGCCGCTCGCGCGCCCAGCCCTTCGATTTACTCCGTTGTTGGAAAATCACGCGATACTCACGCGCAAATCTACGTTTATAAATTGCAAATAAATGCGATTGCCTCGTAATTATTGAACGCATTATAACGCTTAGCACAATGGAAAATGTGCCGTTGCTATTTATACGGTCGCACACACACTCGCACAATAAGTTAGATGTAAAAATAGCTATCCGTCGCGGAGAGAAGGAGAGAGGGAGAGAGAGAAAAAGAGAGAAAGAAAGAAACGTGGATATATCTAAATTATGCAAGCACGATAGCGACTTGCAAGTATAGTGCTCCGTGCATGTAAAGTGCATAATAATTATCGCGAATAGACAAATGGTGTCACGTTTGCCGTAGATATTAAGTAACACGAAACGCGGATCGCATTTTTGATACATGCAGTGTGTTTCGAGCTTTCCGAGAGAGAGAGAGAGAGAGAAAGCGAGTCGCTTTCTCTTATATTAATATAATTCTTAACCTATCTCTCGCGGCCACTTGCCGTCGGACAACGACTGCCAAATTTCCGCGTGTAATAAAGCAGCGAGAATTATTCGCGACGTGCACGAGATCCGCAGAAACGGCTCACGGCGGCGAGTCGCGCTTTTAGCCTGAGCACTATCTCGGGATTATTTTCCGACACTTCCCGACCGCTTCCCTCGTTATTGCATTTTAATCAACCCCATTTAGACGTTAACTCCCGAAAAATACTATTGGACGGATAGACGTTAATGCATCCAATTGGCAGCCAGCCATTAAACGAAAACGCTCGTCTGCTAGAGTAACGATATTTTAAAAGTAGGTGTACGCGGGCTGATTTGAGGTCGTCACACTTTTACGACACCGCAGTCGTCGTTCGTCGGTTACGGCAAATTTTAACTCACCGACGACGGGATATCGAATAAAATGTTAACGCGATATCGAACAATCACGCGAGCGGCGATTTCTCGGCGATTCGTGATAAATGGGCATTTTCGCGAAACCATTGCTCGTTTACAATCGATTGTGCAGTAGTAACATTCGAGCGCATTTCTAGAGAACCCTTCAGTTTTGTTGACACGCAGTTTCGCGAGCTGCCGACACAGCTGCGTGGAGTTTGTTCAACAATTCCCGTACCGTTGGCGCGTAATTATCGCACGCTCCACGCCTGCTAATTTCGTGTATCCTTGAATCCTACGGCAGCGTGTGAAGCATTATACAAAAACGTGAATAGAAATCGTTAAACATCCGCAAGCGTACATGTATTTTGCACGCGTGTATAGCGATAAATTATATCATTTCGAAATAGTCTCGAAAGATCAGAGGTGACACTCGCGCCGGACACGGGAAGGGAATGCCCGCCGCGGGCCTGAAAATCGTGTCGCTCCATTGTGGCATTTTTGTTTCACTCAATTAACGGGAATAAGCTCCTTTGGTGTATAAATTTCAAGACAGGGGTAGTGATACAAGCATAGTTCCAATATGTAGAATGTATGACACATGAAATCTAAATAACGTTAGTAATTCTGAACGCACTATAAGACTATGTACATAGAAAAAAAAATTAGTCTCTTAAATCAAGAATAGAGTAAATATTTTCATGTATAAACAAAAATATTCGTGATAAATGGGCATTTTCGCGAAACCATTGCTCGTTTACGGTTGATTGTGTAGTAACGACATTTGAGCGCATTTCTAGAGAACCCTTCAGTTTTGTTGACACGTAGTTTTGCGAGCTGCCGACACAGCTGCGTGGAGTTTGTTCAACAATCTTCTTGGAAGATTTTTAGTCTTGATTTCATTGAATTTGAATTGGTGCAAATATTACTTTAACTCAATTCAAGACTAAGAAAAACTTCTAAGAAGATTATAATATTCTTATTTATATATGAGAATATCTATTCTTGACTTAAGACTATGTTTTCTGTCTATCGGTTCAAATGAAAAGTGCAAATAAAAATTTTCGCATTTGGCGAAAATGTAGCGACAATAAAAAAAAATAACCTTGGCGTAAAGCACGCGGAGCGACGCGCGCGAACGCAACGCGAAAATAAAACCATCACGTTGCAGTCATCCTCTGCAAAAAAGAGATTTTTTTTTTTTGACAATATTCGCGCAAGAAGGCTGCTCGTAAAGCACGCGGAAACACCGCGCAAACACGGATAGTCCGCGCAGTTACACCCACGAATAACCACGCTGTATTCGCGGCTGGCAAAGGCGGAGTGGACGCCAGACGGATTTTCTCTATGATGGATCCGCGACTTCTCGGATCCAGAAAATGATCGAGGTAGCATCTGGCGATAGGGGAGGCGCGAGAGAGAGAATTCCGCTCGAAAGCTCGGGAGCGTGAAGGTACGCGCCGAGCGGAATGGAAGCGGCGGCTTCAGTCGCCCGCGAACCTCCGTCGAAGAACGTTCTCCACGTCGTTCTGAGTCGACAACGTGGTCGCCCGAGCAGCCTTCATCGATCGAACGCGACAGATCTCGCTGGAACACACACACACACACAGAGAGAGAGAGAGAGAGAACGAAGAAGATAAGGGGTGTAAAAGTCGCAAGGGGGGACCGGCTGATTTTCTTTCACCGTCACGCGACCTCGCGAGGCGGGGATCACCGATGTTGTTGAGAAACCTCGGGAGCGAGGCGAGGTTCAAGGAACGAGAATGAGGACGATCCTGAACGCGTGTTGCGGCCTCTGTATCGACTCGGGCGAGTAAAAACGCGCGGAATAGTCATGTGGAAGTGTTGCCTCCTGTTTCTGTGCATCGCAGGTAATTAATCGGTTTCTCCCCGTGTGCAAAAGGTGAACTAAAGCGGGTCGTAGGCTAATACGAATGGGGGGAGGGGGGTGGCCCGCGGGGGTTAACCGCGAGAAATGTGCGGCACTGTGGAAGTGAGTGGACGAACGCGGACGCGCCGGACGCGCTAGGATATGCAATTAGTTCACGGAAATGAGTAATCGGCGGGTCGTCGATCGCCCGGTTGCCGATCCCTGAGACGCGTATCGTTGAAGATAGAAAAAAAAATTGCGAAACGCCGTACTGTGTGAGATGATCTGGCACAGATAAAGATAGAGAGATAAAGTGTCGAGATATATGTTCTATGAGAGAGTTGCGAATACCGCACCGAGTGCTGGCGGGATACACGAACAGAAACCGATCGCGTCGAAACAACGCAATTACGGTAATAAACGTTCGTTTAACGGGGGGATCGGCGTACCCCTCCCATACTCTCGCAAATAGGTATTCCCAACACAATAACGTAATTCAGTATTATTATATAATTAACTCCATATTTAACCTCATGCCGTTAACGCATCGCGGTAACCCCGATGCAATTGCCGAAATATACGTGGAGCGAATTACCGAGAGGGCAATGTCAATTAAAAACGCGGCATTAAATCGGACATATTTCGATAATACTCGAAATAATACGCCGAATGAGTGCACATAATCGTGAGATTTCTTTCGATACAGAGAGAGAGAGAGAGAGAAACACGGTCGAACGGTTATTTGTACCAATTAACGGTTACGTGCTTCGCTAATTGGTGACCTAATAACCGCTCCGAGATAAGTCGAGAGTTACGATAACACAACGTACAATGGTTATCTATGAGAACTTGGGGAATCGCGATGATAAAAGCACCGTCAATACGATGCTATCACGGTCATGGTTCTGACGTGTCAAAGTTGAACGGCGATATAATAGATCAGGTACTTAGTAAACGAAATCGCACGAGCAATTGATTCACGGAGTCTCTCGAACTCACGCCAACACTTCGTACGTTACTTCTTTAATAGGATTGTTATGCAATGTTTCGGATATGCGTATGTGTGTGTGTATGCGCTCGCCAATTATCAATTTAATTCAGTTTGATCCCCTTTTCAATTCGAGTGCTTCTGCTTCTGTCACAAGAGCGACGTGGCCTACTTTAAAAGTTTGATAAAATGTAATAAAATCCCGGGGCACCTTAAAAGGCGTATAGCTGCAAGGTGCACTTTATATTCAGACGCACGTGAAATATCTGTATATGAGATTAACCAGCTCTCCGGCTGAAATGGATACGTTGCGCGCAGACAGTTTCGGGACGCGCATATTTTATCGAGTTTCTGATGGAAACCACGAATAAATTAACGATCGAAGCGCACGTCTCTCTTTCGCTTCGCCCAACAAAGAGGATACGGCTTTTCTGTGCAGACTCTGGTCAGAACTGAACGTTAACAATCTATTTTCGCGAGATCGAATCTAGACGGGCAAGACCCGCCGAAACGATACCATCAAATCGGTTCTCGGATTTTCGCCGAAAATAGCCTCTCGATCGCAATGATCGCGAAATATTCGCTGAATCGATTTCAACCGAAGGAATCAGCATCGGAGTCAGCAACATAGTTGCGATGTTGCAAGAGGCCTGCTTAGTATCGCTCAATAAAATTTTCTTTCGTAACGAAAATGATGTAATCGATGAGATGAGTGGTTATGCGTCACAATGTATCGCCCTCGAATGCAATCTGTCACTATATTCGATAAAAAAAACAACAACGAAACTTTAATCAGCCTGGATTAATAGCTTTCCTCGATAACGAGATAAATAAATGGCATCGATCGATCGCCGATAACAGAGAATACAGGTTAATCTCGATCAATATCCAGATAATACCAGCTTTTTCGCACCGATAAATTCCGGAAAGATGAGAAGCATGTCCACTCAAGTCGAAAATGTAGCCTTGTGCCATAAATGCCGTGTGAATGAAAGTGCAAGTTGTAGGTAGTCGTACATCATATAAATATGACTCCCTGCTGCTTATCCGATATTGGCCGATTAGACGAGCTCGAAAATATCGAATGACTTACGAGACCTTCTCCGGAAGGTTATAACGCGGCGATCGAACGAGGCTGTCGATAATAGGCGTCACTGAAGTGAATTATCAACTTCGTAACTTAACTACAAGCAATTTTAGTTGACTTCAATCCGCCTTGAACGATTATGAAGGTTCACGGACTATGCCCTTGCGACGTTAGTTAATCTCATAAATATGAAGTAAAATTTGCACATTCATGCAAATAACACGGACAAGAGTTATATAATATTTTATATCATATAACTAATATCTTTTTCTATACCTATAATTTTAATATCCTTACATACATCTAGTTGCCCTCTTGAGATAGGAAAAATTACCCGAATCGAAATTTTGATGCCACTCTGACACTTTTAAGGATTGTTTGTGCCTATTTAGACGACCCTATAGACCGATAAAAATCTACCTTGACGATACCGGCATTTTTTAACTTCCCTCTTGAATCTTTGACTCTACAGGTTGAATTTTAACATCAACATCAATTTTGACGTTAAAAAAGCGAAAACGGAAATTTAAGACATCATCAGAGTCAAGAAGTAGGAGTTGTATTATTAGAATTGAAATTTAACCTATTTTGCTATCTTAGTTCCTACTATTTTGTAGAATTGAATTAAGGTTTAACATAGGGTTAAATTTTCGATTCGGGCGGGCATTTAAAAATTTGACATGATACACGTTAATAATTAACCATGGTTGCCTGTCGATATATTCCATTTTTCTACTTGTTTTCTCCGCGTTCTACTTACGCGTATTCTATTTCTATTTCGCAAATTTTACTTACCGTTGAAAAAAGAAAGGAATTTCTATCTAACTTTTTCTGTAGATAGCAACGTGCATAAACTGTCGCCGGCGACGGCGACGTTCAGTGTCTTAACGCAAAAGTTATTTCGGTATCAGGCAACGGTTCGTACACCTGTGATAAGACGACACATACGACTAAACGATTACACAGAGAAGATACATATGCGTGAGCTCGAAAAAAATTTATTGTGCCTTTATCGCGAAGAGACAATGTTTGCGAAGAGTGAAGTTCAAATTTTTAAGTACTTCAAACTTCGTTCTTTTAACGCGTGAGACGCTTTAGCACCGAAAATCTAATTTTATCGTCAAACTGTGTCTTCCATTTTCCAAGACGCTTAAAAATCGGGAAACTAGCATGAGTTTCCACATTAGAGAGAAAAAGAGGGAAGAAGAGAGAGAAAGAGAGAGATTTAGATACGACCTCCCGGAACCTGAATTTTCTCCCGGAATGAAATATGCAACATGCGCGCTGGCCATCTCGTTTGTTACGCCTCGCATTTTAAAGCAAGTCGTATATCGCGATGCTCAAAGCTCTACAACAAACTTTAGCATACTCCGCAAACTCGCGAACAACTGGACGCAATAACGCAGGGAATACCGGCAAGGACATTTCGTGAATTCTACGATGGTTCTCAACACGACGATTGTTTCTTTACCGTTCTTTTTTCCCCTCAATTCTTCGCGCTTAAAGAGTTCGTTCCGCGCACACGATTGTTTATAATTACTTGCGAACGCTCCTACACGAGCAGCGTCCTACTATTCTCGTAGTCGATGACTAACTAAAATCTGCCGCGCTTTAATTAAAAGGCGTGGTATTGCGGCCGGTTTTTATTGTTCGTAGAAACCAGTTCCCGCTGAATTCCGACGTGCGCAAGCGCGCATTTAAATGGCCGAGTGCTGCTTCAGGTGTAATCGCTGCGCTTTACGGCGTGTGCCGAAAGCCAGATAGCCGATTGACTCTGTGATACTGACCCATTTAAATCTGTGACCTGTGTACGCGAGTCGCACTCGTACAGATGTCGGCTGAAAATTAAGACTACTAGAAGTAATTGAGCGCCTGCTTGGAGTGGCGCCACGTAACGTGTTTAAACTATATTTAGAATAAAACGGCACGTGTCGTTGGTGTTTCACAGGAGCGATTTCAATGATCGTCCTGTACCGCGACCTCCGAGCGACACTTTTGACTCGCTCGCTTTTTCGTCACAACCGTCACGCGTTATCGTGTGTCTTTTCGCGCGTCCGTCACGAAGATAATAAAAAAGCCGACTGCAGTTGCTTTCCAATTCACTAACCCCGAGTCATTTATCACATCGGGGTCAAAACTGATATCGAAATATTAGAGCGATCATGTTGTCCCGATTGAAAGCACGGTGTGACGGGTTAATATACTGTTTACCCAATAATTTCGATTTATTTAACCTGGAAAATTGCTCCTGCGCGCGCTACAAAATTGTCGTGCACTGGATACACGTGGGATAAAAGTGCCACTTCTCCTCTCTCGCGCACGTAATTGTCGTGCGAACAAGAATGTGTTTTCCATATTAAAGGCCTGCGGGCGGAAAGGTTAAGTCTCTCGTATTTATTAATAGTCATACCGCCGTGTATCTCATGTACACGCACACAAGTGCACGCAAATGGGATTTATGGCGCCGTAAATGGGATGGGACGCGACCAAGTTCGTCTATGCTCGAAGGCACTGATTGACAAAGACGACTTCTCGAGCAATTAACTGGCCACGTATGACAAACAATTAATGCCGACGTTGCCGCCTCGTCCGTGTGCTTTTGCAATAGCTTAAAGATAATTCACGGTGGACGTTGGCACGCGTCGCGCCGAGAATTCGCTAGGATCTCCTCTAGAATCCGCGATGCCGCGAGTTGTTGATCTTCCCGAAATTGTAGAACTTTCTCGAATCTGTCCAAAATCATCGCGCGTTTACATCTCAAAATTGTCCGCCATCGTGATGACGGCTTCTTGAATTCCACAGAGTTTCGATGTGGCAATACCTATTGTCTGTGCGCATCAGTATCGTATATCATAAAAAGCTGTTCCACTTATACCGCTCTATTTCGCTCGAAGGACCTGTCACGCCTTAAAAGATTCAATCAATTGATATTCGATCCTGCATAGGCGGATTATGCAAAAATTATGAATGAAAAAAAAAAGTATTTTTACTATTTACAAAACAAATCACACGGTAAAAAATTCCGTGTTAAATTCAACACATTTCACATATCCCAAACATGTCCATTCAAATTTTCATGTTAATTTAACACAAGGTGAATATGTCGAAAAGTAACAGATATTACGTCCAAAACTAACCCAAAATTAGTCGACATTGAAGCATAAAATGTCATTTTAACATTTACACGTGTTGAATGTCGACACAACAAAAATGTTGAGATAATACAAATACAATACGTTAAATCAACATATGGATTAAATATTTAACACTAAAATTTTAATCAAGAATCGATTTTAGCATAAATACAAAATGTTTCTTTACTGTGTATTGACAATGTGCTGTCGTCAAGTATGAGACAGAATCACTCAAATGTACGTTCGAAACATTAATGTGAATACCGAGAAGAGATCGCGTGAATCATATGTTTATACCCGAACGATAAATCAGTTTGATCCGTTACATATCATTGCGCGAAGTCGCTACTATACGAAATTGAGGGGAGTTAGGTAACTCATTTTACGAGACAATGCTCGTTAATTCAATGCTCGATATTGCATCTCGACTATGCAACGAGTTAGTGGAGCTAGTCACGCGTGAACCAGACGGCATTACATAACGTTTAAATTCCGCTCAAGGCCACGAAATAAAAGTGTATTCACTCGGAACGAATATCCTGATAGATAGAGCGTATAGAGTGCGCGCATAAATTAAGCGAGGAGAGAATTATGCGCTCGGAAAGATCGAGTTTTATCGGATCGTGAGATTCTTAACAAATGGGAACTGTTGGAAATGACCGTTTCAGAGAATGAGAGACGTGTCTGTTCGCTGGAAAATATCGGGAAATGTCCGAAGAGCGCTCAGATATCGCGAGTACTCCCTATGGGCCGATGAAAAAACTTTGCTTGATTCCATTTTTTTCCTTTTTCTCAGGTTTATCCTCGGCTGTCTTGAATCCGCCGGATCACCGCGTCAGTTCCTCGACGAACAATCAGTCGGTGACGGTGCGACAGAATGAGCCTGTGAGACGATTCGCGTGTCCTATAGGATTCTTTCGATTGAAACGGTTCTGTTATTACTTGAGCGCCGGCACAGCACCGTGGAGGGAAGCGCACTTCCATTGCAAGGACAGAAACGCCACTCTGGCTATCTTGGACAGAAATGGAAAGGACAGGATGCTGAGGAGGTATTTGATGGGAGAACAGTTCAGTGAGTACCACCATCGACCACGTCCACGTCGTAATTTCAACGTCGCGTGACTTTGCTTCCTTTACTCGACAGCGAAATTGGAGCGATGGATCGGCGGGATCTTCAACTGGCAGCAAAAGGCCTGGGAATGGGGCGTCACTGGTGAGAAGATGGTTTTCCAGAGTTTCGGCAAGTTGGAGCCCGGGAAATCGGAGAAGTTCGCGTGGCACTGTATCATAATGGATCCGACATTGAAGTACAAGTGGAGCGCGAAAAGCTGCGTCGAACGAAAGCATTATATATGCGAAGTGTCTGCCGGTCGCATAGGTAACGAGTACGCTCGATGTGACGGGGATTTTCACAATCAACTTTAATATTCTGCAATATTCGTAATTAATCGTAATGATTTTGCATTTTGCTCGCGGACAGCCAGAAGACGCAAAAAATCGGATCCTTTCGCGCCGCAAAATCAAAGATTAAAGCCCAGGAAGAAGGGCAAAAAGTACTCGGAGGAGCAGGGGAGGCTAGACGGAAGGAAGAAGAGTCGAGCGAATTGGAGAAGAAACTGGATGGACCAAGCGGAGAACCACCAATGGGCTCACGGTGTGAAACCGGGCTCGCGGCCACCTTCTTCCAGGTATTCATTTTGTTAAGCTCGTTAAAGATTTTAGCGTTAAATATGCGAGAAATAATTAAAAGAGAGAATCTTCAGGAAAATATCGAAAATTCGACGCATCTTAAGGTGAGATATAGTTTATGAGCAAATCGGCCCTAAATGTTCTTTTCGGATCCGTTATGGCGCAATTATAACACATTTTCCAAATTGCAGGATTGGATAATAATTTGTTAATTCAGTTAAAAATTAAGTTAGAAATTAAAACGTTAATAACTTTTAAGTTTAAATGAATTAACTTTTAACATAAACTTAGTTACTTTTTATGCATTAACTTTTTTTACCTTTTTTAGTTAAGTTAAAATATTTCTTATATAGCATAACTAACGTTTGATTTTATTTTTAACTTTTAACTTTAATAAAACTAATTTCGTTTTAACTTAGCCCTCAACTGAATTAGTATTTTATTCATGTAACATAAACTCAGATAATTTATAGCGATCAACTTTTAACTTCGTTAAAAAAAAAATTAATTTACCCAACCCTGCCAAATTGTAACAACGAAAGTTTGCATTCGCTGTTCGTTCCTTGTTCATTCACTCAGTGTATGCCCAGCTTTATGATTAATAATATAGTAATTAATCATAAATTCCCTACAATTTTTTCCCTATAAATTATTTTTTAACAGTCACAGGATGGCACAACCCAGAGATCGCACACGGCACCGTCTCAATAACAGGACTCGCTTGCAGCCATCCGTGCCGAAAGTGGCTCAGGTGTTGCCTCGAGGGCGAGAATACGGCGCTTTCTTGGGCGATGGACCTAACCATCATCCCCAGAATTTGGCTGACACAAACCAGGACTTTACGCAATTCCACAATAAAATAAACGACTTGGCGCGGGAGGAGGTTCTGTTTAAGCCGTGAAGGAGAAACTCGAACCGATATATCGATAGGTAGTTACGATTGCAGCCTTGACTTTACCATCGCATTCTTACATAACGAGTCTTTCGTTGTAATGCCGAGATTGAATTACACGTCAAATCTTATTCGTACAATGTTATCGAACAGCTAATCATGGCAGAGCTATTTTACCGTAACAGCATAATTACGGCTGCAATCGTACAAGTGAACTTTGGACCCGTAGAAGGACTAATGCGACCAAAGTTAATTACAAAATAATAAATCCCTCAAGGTTCCTCCGCCTGAATATTCGCGAGAGTTTCAAGAGACACACTGTTTAATTAATAGAATAGTGATCGGCTATGAAGCTGACAGATTAACAGTCGCAATATTTGTGCCAAGATCGCAGGATGCATTCTATACTATTACTGACATTTGTCTGGATATTTTCTCTGTACTTATCGTAGTATCGCTACAGAGCATTACTTGTTGTCTCTCTGCAATATTTTCACTTAAATCTCGCCACGTGACAATGTGCATTAATTAAATGTAACGTGCGAATAATTCAGGTTATTAACGAAAAATATTTAAAACCTTCGTTGCGCTTGTATCACCGCTTCAAATCGTGGCAAATCGCGTTAATCAAGATAAATGAAAACAGCCATTACTCACTAATTAATTAAGCCGTATTTAGCGATAATCGTTTACGCTAATTATATCGCATAGTTTATACGAATGAATTGCAGTTAGGGATAGCGGATCAAAAAGCAAGATAAAACTCGTATCCTCGCTTTTTGCGATCCGTTTTCGCGTATATCACTTTTTCATCGCTTTGTCTGTAAATATATCAACGTAAGATTATTGATATATAATCCCCTGTATTTAATGATGTATAATAAAATACTGATACAGGAGACCGTGCGGTAAGCGATTAAAATTGTCAAGGAAATTCAAGAAAAATCGAGGATGGGTTGTAGCAACGATATTACCTTACGAGAAATCGATAAACAGACTTTTGCGTTCCTACCTTAATGTAGGTGCAGAGAGCGTCCCCCTTCGGCTCACCGGCAGCATCCTTGTACAGCTTAATCTTGTCTCTTCCCTTTTCATCCCTAGCTATGAGGCCACACTTGGTAAAGAGCTGCGTCAACTCGTCCATGGTAATGTCCAGAGGTAGGCCAGACACATAAATAGCAGTGTTATGTGCTTCGTCAACTTCAAACCAACTCGGGGGTTCTTGAGCTTTTCGTTTGGCTTCCGCTTTTCTCTGCTCCTTATCATCTTTGGCCTTCTGTGCAGACGTTGGAGCTTGGGGTTCTGGTTTTGGTGGCTGCGGTATGCTAGTGTCTGAGAAACCATAGCTCATTTGATACCTGGCCATAAAATCCTCGTCGACCTGTGACAGAACATGAAATACTTCTACTCAGTAACTGCACGTTAAACATTTACAAAGTCGAACATTTCCAAATTATCTTCCTCTTTGATATCGTTGCAATGCACTTACCTTGGGAAACCAAGCGTTCTTTTCTTTGTCCCAGATGTACATGCTACCGTCGTTTGGATCCGTGTATGTATGAGTATCATTTTCGAAGCCAAAGATACCAGATGCATTAACTCCAGGACCGATATTCCCCTTCTTTTCAGTCTCATGAGAACTCTCCTTATTATCCGAACTTTCCTTGTTATCAGAGTTCTTCCGATTATCTTCTTTTACTATCCATTTGTTATTTTCTTGATCAAACTTGTAGGTAATATTGGTTGCTTTGTCAGTATAAATATAAGTTTGCCCATCGAATTCGTAGTTCTTCATGGGGTCATCTTGCTTCTCCGACTCTTGCGTATCAGTCATACTGAACAGCTTGTTGAATCGCAGTTCGCATACGAGAAACCTATGCAAACAAACAACCATGTGTTGACATATTTACAGTTGTTAAATCGTACAATTCTTCCTTAAATATATTTCAAAACAAACAATATATTTCTAATATATTTTATATCATCTCTGATTGTAATGTTTAACTGGTTTATAGTAAACAGACGATTTAAGGATAAATAGACGACATCTAATCATTCGCATTGAGGTTAAGTGTACCATACATGGGTTGACATTAAAGATTTCTACCGATCGGCTTTACGGTGGTGCCTTTACCATCGGCAAGTTCCACGGTGATTGTCGTTCACGATTTCGCGATTGGCCCACTGATAATTCCACGTGATTACAATAATCAACACTGACAATAATCAACATTCGCGTCGTACGATTGACACAATAGAAACAGCCTATGTGATCGACACGCGATACGTAACGGTCTGACGGCGCTAGCGTCACCTGTACGCCAACCATGGCATTATTAAGAGCATACTAAAATTTCATAAAAACAATTATTAGATAAAATTCATGGAGAAAAAAACTCAAAAAGCACGTTAAGACATGAGAATTCCGGAGTTGCATTAGGTTAGTTTAATTGTAATATTGCGCGATATACACGCACAAATTATAAGCGAAACTCGAGCGGCGTAATGGTATTTCGCTACATGCCGTTCGATGTCTAATTCGTTGGGACATTCGTCGAAAAATTCGAGTCGCCGTGAAGCCGGCCATCTTGCGAGAAAAAACGCGGTCGCGCGATCGGCGCTGTTCTTTATTGTCGCGAAAGGCAGCGACGCCGGCAGTTGCCGCTGGAAATTGATTTCCAGTTGCTAGGATACGCGTCGGCTTCGAAGCCCAGCACCGACTGGCATGCCTACCTGGCGGTTAGTCGGCTGCAAGTTGCGCGGCGCAAAGTGCAAGCATGGGCCTGCCGGACATAGAGACGATACCCGGTAAAGAGAGAGCGAGACAGATAGATAGAAGAATAAAAGCACGCACCTGACACAATCGCACGCACCGCGACATCCCCGTCGCTTCGAATCCGAGAGATGCGTCAGTCGATCGTTCAGCAGCCCGCCGGATATCGAAGTCGTATCCGCGACGTATCCCTTCGCCATGCCGGTCACCGGCGTGAAGTTGAACGAAAATCGATACGCGCTATCGAGCGATCTCGAACGCGCGTGCCAGCGCGTAAACCGCCGTCGCGGGATTTCGAATTAATCAGCGGGCTGCGACGATCGAGGAAAAACGTGTTTCTCTCTCTCTCTCTCTCTTGTGATCGAAACGCAAAGCGGTCTTGAAAGTTTTGCACGCAGCATCGCACACTTCTCACGAATGCGCACCTTTTTGCGGCGAGCGGCTGTTTCTTTAAGTATCGTACATTTATAGTTGCACATTTCGCACGCGATCGACCCATTTTTATCGTCGCGTGTGATGATCAACGGCGCGCGTTCTGCCCGGGGAATACTCGTTGTTTTGGCTCGCCCGTTGCGTTGAATGCCCCCGATAGCGAATAGTGGCGGTTTGTTCAGCTGCACACCAGCGGCTACCAGCACGACCCGCTCGTTAATCGGCTAATGCCACCGCGGAACATGCGAGTCCTACACGCGTATTTGTATTATTAACTTATCGCCGGCCGGCAGTCGCAATCGGTCCGATAAGTAAGTCGGAACAGACAGGCCGTTGTTCGACAGAATGCCGTTTGATTCTGCTTGATAAATGGTAACAATCACAAGTTCGTTGTGTATCGGTGTATAAAGCTGCACGCTGGAGCTAGACGCCTCGAGCTGAGTCCGGCCTCACCTTTAGCACTTCTCAAAACGAGATCCAGTCTTTCATTCCGAACGCTTTGCATGCAAATAGATCGCTATCGCTAACGGGCGCCCAGATTGTGTATATATATACATACTTTCCCGAGCAATTCGGTGGCTATTAACCGACCTTCGGTTCAACAACCCCGGAGGTAATGTATGCAGAGGCCTCGGGAACGACCGACTTCGCCTTCGCGAAATTTACTCTCGTCTTTCCTACGATCTATCTGTAATAATGAAAATTCGCGTAAGGGCCCGCGATAATTCGGCGGATTTTTCACGCTCGCAGCATACGCGAATCTCAGTCGTTGCGTATCTCAATGTCGTGGTCAAAATACGATCGATTCGAAAGAATTGAAGATTCAAGATCGAAGATGGAAAAGAAAAAAATCGGAATATGAATGTGTAATAAAAACAATCTAAAGGTCCGGTCCAAGGATCTTTTTAAAATTTGTGAATTAGCAATCCGAGAGGTTGCGAGTTTGGAAGTGCGAGAACGCGAAGGCGTCAAGGTCAACTCAAGATCTGACTCGAGATTCAGAGAGAGACTAATTACGAGAAACTGACGGTTTAAATTTTAATTGCACCGTTCGTTATAATTTCCCGACACGTCGGAAGTCTTTAACAATTCGGAATGAGACAATTCACGTAACTTTCCGACGCAAGACAGACGCGTAATGCATTATGCAAGAGGCCGCCGTTTGAACTTTTGATAAGCGAGATCTAAGCGTAAATCTCGGGAGGATTTATTGCCCATTTTGCGTTATTGACCTTTGCACGAGGAAGCTGAAATACCACCGTTAATTTGCACCGTCCGGACGGCGGTGTCTTAACGCTTTTCCGTTCCTTTTTACTTCGCGCCGACTTAAAACTTAATTTATGCCAAGGCTGTACAAACGATAAGACCCTCAGTCGCGCTATATTCGTGACACTCCACCCATAACACGCAGAAATAGAAAGATCCATAAATCGGAGGTACCGGCAATTAACTCATGGAGAAACGGATAGGCATTGCGTTTGTTCTTATTGTGAGAGATTCCAACTCATGGCTTGTACAGCCATTTGTTACTATAATTTCATTACAATAAAGCCGCGTGGATCGATGGCAGCGTTTATACCGGCGATTTATTTTCTTTTTTATTGGAAATATTGGAACGAACTCGGGTTCGAAAGTTTGTGAGAAGCTTTGAACCAACTTTTAACAGTGGGGCCGATTGTAATCTTGCATCAGCATATACGTACGATAAATCTGTAGTCATTAAGTATACTTTTAGCCGGAGATTAAAAATCGCTACAAGTGGCTTCCACGCGCAAGTGTGTGCGATATGGACGCTCATAACGTATTTATAGCTTCGTAACAGAGTGATATGCAACGATTGAGATCTCGTATTCCGCGACTACGAACAATGTCGCGATTCCCCAGCATGTAGAGCGACTCGCAAGGACGACAGTAACGCGTAACTCGAGGCTCGAAGAAGGAAAACAATTTCGGATGGAAGATCAACGCACGCGTAATCGCGTCGTTCACGTGTCAACCTGAACGCAGAATCTTCATCAACCGTGGGATTTGCATGTTAAAGATAGAAAGCTCGATTCATCCTGCCTTCAATGTTTAACGATGTATCGACCTTACTACATTGTAGAGACCGGGGCAGTGTTCACGATCGGCCGTAGCAGATTCGCGGACAACGTTGCGTCGCATTTCTTCATACGCAAGGATCCTGTCGTCGCTATCACCTGCGGGGACGAGCACTCCGCCGTGGTTTGTCGTAAGTCTTAGGAAAAGTGACTGTTAAGAGGATCCTACGGTCCTCTTGTTTTATCACAAATTTATTAGTGCTATACTTGTTTCTCGTTGCGCAGAATTAAACAAATCCTTTTGCACAATTGCAATACACATGTTAACGTAGGCAAGGACGGTTGGCTTTTTTATTTGAAAAACAAAGAAAAGTGGCAAATTATAAAACTTTTTTTTTCTTACGTCCATATGTAAAATCGATATGTAAAATCTATATGTAGGAAAAATTCAAAAAGAATAGCGATCATGTCAATGTTTATATAACATATTATTCTAAGATCGCCTCTATTTTATCGACACTTGTCTAGTTCGTCGTCGTCGACTTCGGCATCCCCTTTTAATCTAGAATAAGTTTGAGGTGCAACCGAAATCATTTCAAGAGCACCATCGTTGCTCCGTCGTAGGTCCGGGTAAATCGAGTCCAAGATAGGTTTAATTTCACGATAAGTTTGGCTCGAGTTGTGCAAATATAACGTAGAAGCTCAGTCAGTTGTACGGTCTATTGAATATCGTTAATAATTAACGTCGCGCGCGTCAAGTACAGCGTTGCCTTTGACAGTAAAGCATGTATTCGTGATGAACGATGTTTGCGGACAGAGTATCTTGCAATAAACAATGATCCCCGTTTCTTGCGTGCCTCCTTCGTCGTTTCAGCCTCACTCATCCGTAGGAAGTGGCGCTTACGCATATTTTACACGCGAACTCACGAGGCCCGGTCTCTGTCGATATGTGGCGCGTGTCTAAAACGTGGATTTCGATAGCTACGCTACGTGAAATTCGTAGACTCTATAATGTCGAGGTGTATGATTCGGGCTCGAATGATTTACAGCTTCTGTAAGCTTGCCACGCGAGGAGTATATAGCCGAGCTATGCTTACATAGGGATACCCACTGTCCGGTAAATCGATATTGAACACGCAATGGTCGGCCTAGCCGACATTGCCGGCGTTATTAGTACAACGCGTCTCGAAAAACCTCGCCGCGCTACACCGTTCGGTAACTAAAGGAACGTTACAGAGATTGTCGAGGAATCGGAAAGATTAATTATAGATAATGATAAATCCGCCCACGACGCCCGGAAATTGTGACTATTCGGCCTATTGACGACGACGAAACTAAATTTATCCTATAATAATAATAACTATAATTTATTTATATATTATTATAGTGAAAAGCGACGTGTTCTCGCTTCTTCTCAAATCACGAGGAGAAACATTCGCGCGTTTTTCCGCGTGTAGTTTAATCGAAATCTCTTTTGTAATCTGTTTCACTTGCGTAAACTTGATTCTCTCGTCTGTTTAGCAGAGCATAATTGAACTTGCGTAAGAGAAAGTTCATTGCTCAGTGGATTCGTATCTTTGGATACATTTAAATTCTAGATTTCTCGAGTACTGCTCGTGAATCCAGAGATATTATCTGGCGATGTCGAGAATAGTTCCGGAAGAGTTATCTTAAGCTTTAGGTTGGACAGGTTAATTTAAAGGCGTTTCAAGTATTCTTATGTTTCTTGCTCCCGGGTCGTTACACGGAGAAAAAAATTGCCGACACAGCAAATTTTATGCTGTCGCAACAAAATTTGTCGGTTATTATATGGATAGTAAAACGATTAAAAATGGAGGAAAAGAAGATAATATATAGATATTATGGTCTCACTTAATATTTCCACTATTAGATGACAAATTGGAACGATTACTTATGAAATCATTTATTTAGCAGCCTGCTGTTACGCAGGCGCTAATATGCCAAAACACAATAGCCAACATTTATTGTAATATATTTTTACTTTCGAGCATTTTGATACATTTTCGAGGTATATTCTGATTTCAATTAAAAATATTGAATAACACAGTCATTGTATATATAAATGGAGACTGTGATACTACCTTCTCCTCTAATTGCCATGGATTATTTTACCGAATCTACGAATTATTTTGCTATAAGAAGAAAATAGGAAATGTAGGAAAATACTGTTTTGTTTTAATGGAAAATTAATGAGTTCTAAGGACAAATTTATTCAGCAAAATATTTTCTATCCTGACAACAAAACTGTTTCTGCTCTAATGATGAATAATTCGCTAACTTGGTTATATTAATTAAATTTTATTGCCGTCATAACGGATATGCAGTAACAACGATGATTTCGCTGCAACAGCAAATTATTTTTCACCATGTGTGCTTCTTTCTTTTCTTTTCTCTTTCTAGAAACTGGAAGACTCTTCGTTTTTGGCAGTAACGACTGGGGCCAGTTGGGACTGGGTCATAAGAACCACATTAGCAAACCTTCATGCGTGAAAAGTTGGTAGCTCTCTTATCGTAACAGCCAATAATTTAGATGTATTAGATGTAAATAAGATTGTAATAGTCAATAATTTTGATATATTAGATATAAATAAGATTGTAGTCTTTAATATTAAACGCGCCTACTCGTGCAAGCACGTTACAGTGTTTGATTTACGCTTTATTTATTTATATCATTTATAAAAATAATTTTTTCTCTTTGGAGATCACACCTTGGTTTTCCTAGTTTGCGTTGAAAATTTACAAAGTCAAGACTATATTATATTTTTATTTTTGCAAAACCGCCCACCTAATTAAGCGTCGTTCGTGATTTTAATGAGTGCCCGATACATTTCAGTCTTGAAACCAGAAAAAGTCACACACGTTGCATGCGGGCGAGCGCATACTTTAATATGTATAGGTGAGCAACGAATAATATAAGGATATGTATACGGAGTGTCTCAAACGTCGCGTATCACTCGCAATTGCAGATACCAAAGATCACATTAATTATCTCGTTTACTTTAATATCGCTATAGTGATTTACATCGCGCCTAGGAAGCAATGAAACCTCGCCCTTTTGAAACCACACGGTTACTTTCACATTTGCGAAAACGAATCTATCGGAAATACACAACGGCTGAGACACCCCGTACGTGTAGTTGTCATTAGCAGAAGTGCCGTAAGCAAACATACCGCCGTTTCTATATGTGGCTTCGCGTGTCACGAACTTGAACGAATACTTGCCGAGTCATTCAACTTCAAACTTATTCCCATTCGAAGAAATTAACGCGATAAAGAGATTCCCAAGTGACACGCCACTTTGTTAGCTCTTTCCAAGTGGGATTTCGAGATATTAATTTGTCAGTGGAATAAAGATCACGGCTGACAGATACCTTTACCGCGGAAACATATAGCTACTATCGATTTCATCGATCTCACTTGATTTATCGTTTGGAGTAGTTGAACTGACTCTATTAGTTTTGATATTCAAGGCTTCCATGATATGGATTCTATCAACTTGTCAGAAACGTCATAAAGGTGACGTTTTTATTAGTTAACAATCAGAGAAATCATTGCCTATTCTTTCCTTCTCAGGAGGTCAGAAGATCTTTGCGTGCGGTAGCAACCAAGAAGGTCAGTTGGGTCGAGAAAGTTCCGCCATAGGCGACAGTTCCAGTTCTCCGATCTTGATCTACGATTGCGGTCTCGCCGGGCCCAGAGTCCTTCAAGTCGCGGCAGGATCGCATCATTCGATGGCTCTAACGAGTGACGGGGGTGTTATTGCTTGGGGAAGCAATCTGGAAGGACAATTAGGATTGCCCGGTATCTCGGGATTGGTCACCAAGCCGACAAAAGTTCCCATTCCAGAACCGGTGAAGGAAATCAGCGCGGGATATTATCATTCAGCTTTTCTAACCGGTAATATAATAGGCGATAACATTTATTCTTGATTTATACTGATAGATAATGTCTGATTTATACTGATAGATACTGTCAGATAACGAATCGTATAATAGATTAAAGCGTTAAAAAATCATACAAAGATATAAACGGGTTTCTCCATGAGGCCATTCTCGCGAAGTTTAATAAATTTGACAAGAAGGAGGAAGAGGAGAAAACCGTTTCAAGTTGTCCAAAATCTAGTTCTAAAAATCTATCCGAGCATTCTTTCTCTTTCACTCTCTCTTGCTCTCGGACATCGCGGCGCTTTTTGCGGTAAATTTGAGATAAAATCGCTTCCGCTGCGGCTCGCTCGAGCACGAACACGTGAGGGTTGTAAAATGCACATTAAGGCCCGTATAATTCGAAGGCAACGGTATTTCCAGAAAGCGGTCTGGTTTATGTCTGCGGCGAATCGGAAAGCGGCAAACTCGGGATCGATGTCAACTTCTCTACGCAAGTTGCACCGAAGCAAATGCAGTTGCCAGCGCCGGCTCTGCATGTTGCATGCGGCGGTCATCACACACTCGTGTTAGCAGGTTGGTCGATGGATTTGGACGTCGTTACATTCTCCATGCTCCACCATTCGCTCGATATTCGCGGTTTGCCGTGAAAGATGAATTGAAAATCTTACCTTATGCATTTTGTATACACATTTTGCATGCAATATGTGATCCTAAGGAGTTACACCACCTTTGAGCGCAATTTTCCTCAAAGAAAGTATCCAGCATAGGAAGATATTTATAAAATATTCTTATAAATTACACTTATAAATTAGCTCTCAGGGATGGTATAACCCCTTAAGATATTTTGTCATTAATGGTGGGCGCGCTGAGAATTGTACGAAATTGCAGCAAATGGCAATATTTACTGCTCCGGCAGTAACGCCAACGGTCAACTTGGCATGGGCACGAATGTCAACGAGGTGCACACGCCGAAACTTCTTCCACGCGGGGCTCTCCAGGACGAGACCATCGTCAAAGTAGCTTGCGGCGAAAGCCACAGCGCTATACTCACCGGTGAGTAAAGCTCCGCTTGAATCGTTGTATCCCTTGAATTAGAATTCTCGGATCAATTATCACGGATTGTATGTTCATGCTGTGAATAATAGAGTCGGGCAAACTCTTCACCTGTGGAGACGGGCGACACGGAAAGTTGGGTCTAGAGGAAAACGAGAACAACGTTCACGAGATAACGCTTGCTGCCAAATACCAGGAGCTGTTCGTTTCGAACGTAATTCGGCTTATTCGTTGAAATAGATGCAATTTTATCGCGTTGTTACCTCGCACTAATTGTTTCTTCGCTTCGCAGGTCTCGTGCGGGGGATGTCACACGATATTGGTTGGTCGGAGACACGAGATGAATTATCAATCACAACGGCAATCGGACGCTACTCAAATGGTAAATGTAGTTGTATTATGCATTGGATCGGTCGAAGGGTTCGATTTGATTTTCTGTAAATCAACGGTGAATCATTTTCCACAATAGAGATGTACAAATGACATCAGAATGTTGATGAAGGATTATAAACGAATAACTAATTAATTTTGCAGGGTATGAAATAAATAAAGCATGTTTATGAAAAATGAGCTTTTTTAATTGCAGGAACAATCGCAGAAAATAAACTCTCTACCTCCCTTAAAACTTCCTGTAAATATGCAAAATGAACAACGACTGGATAACGCGGAAAGCAAATCGACAAGTGAAAAAGAGAAAATTAACGATATGGAGAAAATTAACGATACGGAGAAAATTAACGAGGAACCACAAAATAATAACGATGAATCGAGTTCTTTGGAGAACGCGACGATGAATAATTCGAACCTTGTCAACAGCACATCGAAGAAAGACGAAGATAATGAGAGTCACGAGGAATCCTCGGAAAATGTTCCATCCGAGAATCCAGAAAGGAAAAGTCCAATCGAAGAGTCGCAGCCAACTGGCGACGAAGATCAATCGAAAGTCGAAGAAAATGAGCAAAATGATAAGAATAATGAAAGCAAAGAAAACAGCAATGAAAGCGACAAGACAGATAGCCAGGATGATAACGAGAAGACGGAAAATGCAGCGATGCGAGAGGCCGAAGAATCGCATACGGAAGAAGCAGCAACGACGGTAACAGACGAAACCGAACGGGAAACGTCGATGAATACCATACCGCCGCCAAAACCACCGAGAATAAAATCCGGAAACGCCGAGGATACGTCGAACAACGAAAAGGAGTCTTTAAAGGAAAGCAACGGAGTCGAAGAAATTAAAAAAGAAGAAGGGGAAGAAGAGGCGAAAGAGAGCGACGAACGAATTGACAGCGCAAAGTCGTCTGATAAAAAGCCAAAGTCAGCAGCTTTCAAACGTGGCGATGAAGATATCGTAGATGTTACGGAGAATTCGATTGACAAAGTGGAGGAGGACGGACATTCTAAAGACCCTGAGAAATCGGAAATGGATGGGACGCAGGATGATGCCGATGTAGTGCAGTCGCCAGCACCGCGGACAGGTTGGCGAACGAGATTTTCAATATTCCCAGTAAAGATGGGCGACATTGAGAAAAAGAATCGACGCCCAAATCACTTCTAATAATCGATTGCACTTTAAAAACATTGAAAAAAATCATCGATTAATTTTTAATATTACACATTTCGACGATCGTTTCAGGTAAGATGGCAAAGTTGTTCAAAGCAAAACGGCAACAAGAAATTCAGAATGGAAACACGGGCAGCGTAGCGAATCCAAAGGCTAAGGTATGTTTAAATAGAACGAAAAATAAGAAAGGCAGCAAGTAATGTATAACACGTCAGTTTTTCATTTAACTTTCCATATAACTATAGTCATAAGATAAAATTAATCCTACCCAGCCAGAAATGAAAAGTCGAATCGACGTCGATGAATGGTCGATGTCGAATACAATATTTCTGTCATTTTCAACGTAATTTTGTTGCAAACAATATTTTGTAATTACAGTAACTAATACTGATGACTGATCGAAATTTAAGCCCGTATTTAGGTTGAATCGTCTACAAATTTTGACCGCCAATAAGCAACTATAATCGACATCAATCAGACTTTTCATTTCTGGCTGAGCTACGTGAGAATATCAACGAACGTAAATTCTTCACTTTCAGTCAAAAACGTGCACTATTCTGTGATCGAGGAGACTTCGAAGAGACACCTGGACTCATTATATTTTTTATAAAATAATACTTATGAAATAAGTTTTCGTCGCTGGGACCAATATACGTGGAACCGGAAATCTCCTTCTCCAACGATCGACACGAAGAGCTCGCATATATATATATATATATATATATAGTATACCATCATAAACATCTGCATAGAATTAGCTTAAATCTGCGTTCTACCATGTCGATTTTTATCTCTCGTGTGACTTACTACGACGGCGAAGAATCTTAATAAAAACTCCGGCAATGTCGATTAGTTACTAAATAATACTTACTGTACCTAAGCGCACTGTGAATAATATGAGCCACTTAGGAATCAATTTCATTGTTAATACATACTTGAGAAATTTGCGTGAAAATCGACGCTATCGTGCAAAGTAGACGAAAGCCGAGTGTGAGAAATGTACAGTACAGCGTCTTATGTGGATAAAGGTATTTTATTAAATTCCAATAACAAAGTTCCGTTTTCACAAACACGCGCTAGAATAAACTTATCCTACTGTTTACAACTGCGGGTTCGATTAAAATTACTTAAATCTAATACGTAATCGCACTGTGCCCTATCGATTATATCACTCATTCAATTGATCGTCGAGCTGCGTTAAACTTACGGTGTGCACCGATCTTTCACTTAGAGTTAAATCGTACGTTTGTCCAAATTGTTCTTCGTGTTCTTCTTCGTGCTACGCTCCGTGAGAAGATAAACGATCGCATTAATCGAAATAAATATTTCTATAGTTATACATTAACGCTACAGCTATCGGCAATTGACTTCGCTTCTAATCGACGATGTTCGTATTGGTGACAAATTGTTCACGGTATACTTAACGTAAGATCACTAATATTGCACTAGATTATGGCCAAGCACGAGTGGGACACGAGTTGAGAATAAGTATCGCTGTCGCGATTTGAAAGATTTCGTTTCGTGTTCACGATGCCGAGAAAATTTCTCCTCGTTGTTCTCCGTTCAAACGCGAATTTCACGTTACATATAAATAAGGACGGAATCACAGACACATAATTTATATACTTAATGTGATCCTGGGATTCTTAATGGTACCGGAAACGATCAAGCAGATCCCTGATTGGCGTGTTCACGGAGACCAGCAAATCCCAATTTATAAAAGTTTCATCGTTTCTTCCATCCGTAATTAATTAACAACAAAGAACTCATGCACGCACACACCTTATAACAACGTGTTTTGTTATAGCTATGAAATATTATAACGATCCTGTTGCCTTTTTTCGCGCATTGCAAAAGATCTCGCAGATTCTTTGGCGAATTTAAATCCAGCGAAGCGATTGAAAAGACTTTTCTCCGGTCTCTCGGTCGATTAAATTCGCTTGAAATGAGGGACGATTTCTTTTACCTATACAAGGTACTTCATTTGACACGAAATACGAAACATCAATTTGGCTTCGCATAGTCTGTAGTCATTTAAATTAGTCTTCTTGACCGTCAACGAAGAGACTTTGGTGTATACAGTATCGAAGAAGACGTATTGTATTACGCCGTGCCTTATCACACATTGCGCGGATACTTATCCGATATTTTTAATAAAGTCGCAATTATTAATTAATGACGCCTAATCTTACCCGATTTTGGAACAAAATCGACCGGTCACTATTTGTTTGATGAAAAATCTAACGTATATGCACGCACATGTGCATGAAATCTTGCAATACATACTCGAGTCTTTGTTAAGATTTACAGGTGTTGGTAATTTTCGATCCAATTTTAAGTCAATCTTTCGATCCAAATTCAGTCGATAATCGAAAAAATCCTTGATTAATCAATATCGAAGTTTATATTCATGATGTGCACGTCTTTACGTATAAATTAAATCCATTCACCTTACAGAAGTATATGCTAATGAATGAGTGTTTGATGAAATCATATATAGAGTCCTGTAAATCCTAAATAAGTCGAAGGACTTGCGGCCCTTCATACGACAAATATAAGAAAGAAATATACGAGACTTTAATAAGGGATAATCTCGGTGAGTGATTCCCGTATTCTTTATGCAAATCCTGGGACTCTAAGTATTCTTACTTTAAATTATATGTTAATTAGTACTCAGGTCAATTGACCACTAAACTATTCAGATCTTTGATTTTCTAATTCCTAAACTCCATATGTCAGATACCTTAACCCTTTCGTAAATACTTTGACCCTTCATCCTACGAACTTGAAAAGTGATTAATCTAAAATAGATCATTCTTGCAATATGAAAAAAAAACGAAAATATTTCATTAATTTGTTTATTAAGGAAAAAAGTCAACGCGAAAAGTTTAAACCCTGAACATCTCAGACTCTAATACGAATTCCTGAGATTCCTAGGTATATATATGTATATTTAGATTTATAGATTTGAAAAAATCTAGTTTATTCAATTATCCGTGGTTTTCTCGAGTTTTTTTCCATGGATGAATGAAAGAAATTGGAAAAACCTCGAATTTTCCCATTTTTCCACGAATTTTTTCGGTTTCTTTCTAAAAAAAACAGGTTTTTACCTATATATATGTACATATTCACCTATAATCAAACATTTTTTTAGACAGCTTTGAATCATCAGTGAATAAATGATAGTAATCACATTTTCGCAACAAACTGTTACATCGTTTGTTAATGTCAACATTAATTTAATCGTCAATACAATCGAGATTAGGCGTCATTAATTATCTTTTTCGTTACTAGCACGACAGTAAAGTTAACACTTATATCTAGTCAAGTCCGTCAGATCTCTATAATATCTTGCTTTTCGTCGATATCATTATTCAGCAGGATGTAAGAATCCCTGCTGGACATCAGTCGATGCTGGCCGTTAATCAAGAATGACGAGCCCCTTCTGATAGTCCTCTTTCCTAGCTCGATCGCCTCGTGCGCCAGCACTGGGTTGTTGTTTGCCTTGACGAAAACCGTGATGATAACCGTCAAACCGGCCAAAATCAAACCATATGTGAAGCAAGGCACACCGATATCGAGAAACGTAGTCGACAGATAGAGCAATCTTCGGATAGTCGGTGTGAGCTCCTCTACTCCTTCCTCGAGCCACATGATCGGAAAAACGATATCGGGAAAATTCGCGATCGCCGCAATGTAAGGATGCCGTTCCACCTTCAGATTCATCTGAACACGTAATTTCGCTTCGATCGGCACGCCGAGTTTCTGGAGAAGGCGAAACGACGTGTTAGACTTTGGTGAATCTTGAAAATCCGGGGAGGAAAAAATTTTTTATATATAATTATATCTAATTACATATGAAAGTTTTTTTTCCCAGGGGATCTTGAAGAGTTTCTTCAAGCCAATATCGATCAAGGATTGATAAATTAAAAATCGAAACAATGAGCGAAATAAGATTGAAATAGTCAATTCATCGACTAATTCATTTTTATCCATTTAAACCTCTAATTCGCAATTCTTTACTCCCAACTCCATCCTAGTCTGATATGGACTTTAGGATTCGCCGAACGGTTTACTCACCGGCTGAATCTTCATATACGATGAATGTAGCTTCTCGACCGGATTGAGTCCGACAACGGAGTTCAGCAATTTAGGATCCGCTTTGTAAAAATGCGGGAAGGATATATAGATTGGCGCGTCTGAAACAAAATAAATGCGCGTATTTGTGTTTCAGCCAAGTGCGATAAATGGGTTTTGCAAAATATGCGAGAAACACTCACTGAACTGGCACGGGCTGATGTCCTGTAAGCCTTGTAGCGGGCAGTCGGCGCTGTTGTCCGGGCAAAAGCATTTGTTCTCCGGCGCTGATTCGGTCGGATGATTGAAAATCCAATCCGCCGGTGTGTACAAGTCCGCTTTGATGCCCGTTTTTACCACCGGGCAGCGATACTGCATTGGCCATATTCTGCAGAGATCCTTATCATAGATATAAACGATGTCCGAGCCGGTGATATCTCGCGGTGGGAAGAAGGAACCTGTGAGAGGAGGAATTAAGTCAAGGAGGATTTTTACACGTGACCAAATAGGTAAAGAAACATAAGTAAAAATATATACTCACCCTCCGAGGCAGAGAGGGAGTTGCAAGGCGCGTCAGCCCAATATGGCAAATTATCAAGCCCGTTTAATCGCTCCAATAAACCGAACTTCTTCATATCTGTGTGTCCGGTGTACATCGTATGTACCTCGCTCAATGTACCGTTTCTCTACGATTGCAGTTTGATTGTGTGACATGTGTATTTAGGAAATGCTTTACATTGTAATATAGCGCAAATACTTACTCCAAGCAGGAAGCCCATTTTGCTCTGAGGTCGTCTTGATCTGGGAAGAAACCGATGCCCGAGACTAACGAATGGATCGTCATAGCCGTAAGCGAATTCATCAATGGTCACAGGAATAAACGGTTTCATACGCATTCCGCTTACGAACATTGAGACTCCGAACGTGAGGAAGCGTGGGAGATTCTTGGTTAGAGCCGAAACTGTCTGTGAGCAAAAGCAAAAGTGTTCCGTCAGGTTTGTCTGAATCTTTCAAAATTCTTAGCATAAGCGGGCCTAGTTTCAATTTTTACTGAAGCTACGAGCTTACCAGTAAAGGGATATTCGGTATCATCATCTTGATATTCCTGTCTTCGGACAATTCGGGCACGAAGTTCATAATTTTCTTGTGCTGATAGCTAACCGTTCCATTATTGTGAAATACGATGTTGACTTTTTCCATATCCTCTCTGCAAAATGTACAGATTTATTTCTCGCGTTCGTGAAAAAAATTGTCGCGAGAGATTCAAAACTTCGCCTATAAACACGCGATATGATACGTAAGTAATACGAGATATCGCCATATCAATAGAGAAGAAGGTGGTACTATAGCCCGTTATTTACATTTTGTATAATAATTTTGTCAATAATCAATATTTTAAATTAAAAAATGAACGATTACATTCAAAGTGTTGTTCAATCGATTCTAGACTCAAAGTTATGGAATATTTATTTACTTAAGATGTTATTTATATATACAAATATATGTGGCGACATTAGGTATCGCTATTGAGTCATGATTTACACCGAGAGAAAAATATTTGGTAATTGTAACTATAATATAATCGTAGTAAAAGAATTATAGTCAGGAAAAGTAATTTCCTAGTAAATGTAAACTATAGTGTTAATGATAATAACTTAATACGCATGTTGTTACTATTTTTGTGGTTAAAATTATAAAAAGGTTATAGTTGACATCGAAAATAACTATAATCTCTTTCAGTATATTCCAATTATGCGTGCATTAAGCATATTTTTAGCATTTTAACATTTTTTTTGTATTTTTAGCATTTTTTCTATATGGAGGAAAGTTAATAAAAGACTTACCGAAAAACGAACGGTCCAATTTCCTGAAGCTTCGGCTTCTCGTTAAACTGCAAAAAGCTTTCCACGTTGGTTACATTAAATACGTATACTTTGGTCAATCGTGTTATGCCTGGCTTCTGCCAATATTGGAAAGAAATTGAGCCGTTCCATAGTCGTAGTTGCTGCAAAAACAGTACAATTGAGAATTGCCGATATTATTACACGATGCTTACGTAGTTTCTCTCTACGTTTTATTTCTTACGATTTGTCGATGATGTTTTTGCATCCAATAACTGTTTATTCAATTGAGGAGAAACGATAGTGACTTAATAATCCGAAGAAATCGATCCATTAATAATCGAACGGTATTACTTAGGTTGTTCGGGAAAAAAAGGATTGCATCTCCTCGCATGGGGCACCCAACATTACTACATAACGAGATTATCGCGTTAGAAATATCTGTCTTACGTTAACGATTTAGAGAATTTCTGGAGAAACTTATGAAAAGGAAAAGTTAATATTTCTGGCACGCATATTCTCCAAGTGAAACTAGATTCTTAAACTCTACAGAGAAATTTGCTTTCAAGAGAAAAGATGCTTGTATACAAAATAGAAATTAAAAAAAAAGAAAACTTTGTGTAAACGTTGAACGGAGAAAATGGAGTCTGTCTAGGTTTTTCATTTAGAACAACACTTTTAAAACATTAAACCTCCAATCCGTATCTTCATAGATGTCCCAATTAGAATACATTATTTTTCGGAAAATCGGAATAGATTCCAATCAGATCTCATAAGATTTTTTCTATGAATTTTATTTTTTTCTTACGAAACTTTTCTTACGAAAACTCTCTCGGTCGAAACTCCCTGTGTATTCTGAGTATCAGATCATTCCGTGAAAAGTTTCCAGAGGAAACACGCGGATGGGAAAGTATATGGGCCGAATACGGATTTCCACGTGTGTTACAAGAACTTTGTAGCAATTAAACATGTTGACTGCTTATGGAGAAATGGACCCAGTTGCGAATGAACGTAAGACTACAACGTTATTACGCGGTGATGTTTGTTGCGAGATGAGATGGCATGAATCTTTTCTAAATAACTCATCGCCGTTAACGGTAACACATCGTTAATCCATAATAAAAGTGCGCATACGGAAAATTATTGGATCAGTTGAAACAAGTGCGAGGTAACACCATCATGGAAAATCACAATTAACATACGTTCACCGCGATTTTGATACACACAATAACAATTTGACAATTTCTTTGAATTATCTCTTCGAACGTAATTTGCATGAGTTAAAGAGACTTTTGACGGTGAAAGAGACTCGCCGCGGTATTTGCCGAGAATGCAAATTACTTTACACGCAAGTACCGTAAAAAACATAGAATATTCAGTACTCAATTATCTGTTCAATTACGAACATGTATGATCTGTTTGCACAGGATTCGAAAGTGAAACGGAACCGAGAGGAAAAAACATATCGTTGATCTTACATTGTTATCTCAAGAACGTAATATGATTTTACATCATTATCTCGCCAACATGTATCGTTACTCTTTTACGACAATGTTATCGTGCCGACGTGGAAAGTGCGGCAAACGCTTTCGGTCGTGTCGACCGCATGTAAATACCGTCAAATTAGCGTAAATAATCATCTCCTTTTTAAATTGTAATTTCATTCGTCGCATAAATTCGCACAGTATACGTGTACATGTGAATTCGCAATTCGATGATTCGTTACTTACTTTTAGAATAATATAATCGACCCATGGTATACTACTGAGCACTATACCGATCACAAGTGCAAGGAGGCCAAGGCAAATCGCTGTTATTCTACCTGAAAAAGAGAAAACAAAGGAAGCAAATTTAACTACGCTAGTATCAAACCGTACCGGGTAATAAATTCATGCGCACCGTTTGCGCAAACAATTTTTTTCAACAGTTGCATGTTGGAATTACAACAGTCGAATATCGCTTAAGAGACAAGCATTGACCTACATTCGACAATAAATACGAAACATCAAGCGCTGCCGACGTAAAAAGGTAAAGAAGGAACCTATGCATTGTATATACTTAATTAAGTGAACATTCCCCGTAGAGACGCATCCGGAATTTCGAAAGAGAAATTTCGCGATTGGAAGGATCCGAAAACACCGTATATATTTATACCATATATATTTGCCAGATTTATTCTGTCGGGGCAATATGTTGTGTATGTACATAGATTTGCATAATCAACCGCACGAAAAAATTAATTCATGTCAACAACAAACAGCAATTATTTCTCACGCAATAGCTCGCACACTGAGATATCACTAATTTCCATAAGACTTCGTCACGTTCTTATCCAAGAATATGTCACGGAATATTTAATGGTACTAATTATTATTAATTATTTAGAAAAACATTTGACGCACGTGAAAACTTATATGAAATTTATTTGTATAATGAGATTAGAAATAAAGCGCATAACAGCCGATGACGATGTTGATGTTTCTTTCTTGTTGATATTTCTTGCGTTTTGACGCAAGAATTAATTTGATGTATCATTTATAATTATGGTACTTATTATTAATTTTACGTCACCGAGTTACGTTTATACTAATTACATATGTAATGTATGCAACGATTATCACATGCAATTGCACGATATAGAATACACCTTGCACCTCTGAAACAGGAGCAGTGCAATTAATATTAATCACATAAGTGACCGAGATGACGTTTTTCAACCAGATGTGCATCTCGACCGTAAACTCGGGCGGTCCGTTATATAATTCTTGCGAGACCGCTGGCTATCGGAAATTTTTCATCGTGTAAGTCGGTCAGCTTGCTTTCACTCCCGAATTAAATGTGGGAAGTTAATAAGGCAATTTTTCAGTTTCCACGTGATGCTTCGATGCACCGATACGACGCATCGTGGCGCCCGCGTTAAAATGTATGAGGTACAATTTACGAAAAAAAAAAAGAAAGAGAAAAATATATGTTTCCAAGACGTTTTCTAACATTCTCATTAATAATACATTATATTTTTGTGAACATTTTTGTGAAAAAGATAACAAGTAAATTCCTTGTTGAAAAGAACCAGGTAGGAATCCATATAAAATCCTACGGTTGCCCTTGGGGAATTGTGCCAAAAACCCGAGTCTTAGGCAACGATGCATGTGGATTCCTATATGGATTTCACACACCATGTGGATTCTTACATAGTAAGAAACATTTTACGTGAACATTAGAATTGCGGCTGAATCATTTTTTTACTCATTTGCTCTTTTTTCCCATTTCTTCGGATTTTCATCATTGGGAAGCCTTCTTTATCATAAAACAATTAAACAATATCACGAGATTTAAAAAAATCGGATAATTACAAAAAAAGAAATGAGTCAGAAATGACCCATTCACGATTCTGGAAAGGAAAATATTTCCGCGGTTATAGTATTAAAACGTTCCTTATTAAAACTTTTGAATTAAATGTTTATATACCCGTGTGTTAACTAAACATATTGCGCTTACGTCATCTCCACATTTTTTATTTTGTCGATATTCAATATATATAGTAATATAATGTAAATTACACATGTTAAAGTAACATATTTCACACTTCAGTGTCGATTAATGTATTAACTTTAAGTTAATTTGTGATGCATAATAATTGTGTCTTTAACATATTTAACTTGTGTTAAATTAACATAAAAATTTGAGTGCACCGTTTTAGAGCTAGTGTTTTCTTTTAAAAACTTTGACGTTCGAATTTCGAAAATATCGAAGCTTCGAAGTTTCAAAATTATCGATGATTAACAGCTGTATAGCCCAATTGGGACATGAAAAGTGTGTTAAATTTAACACACAATTTTTGTATCTTGCATATGAATTTTTAATATCCTACATGGATTCACACGAGTTCCCTTGGATTTCTATGGGAATCTACCATGGAAATTTTCAACAGGATTTCCTGCGCATGTCGCTCATCCGAATTCTGTCTGTCGAACGAAAGACGTTCGCGCATGTAAGTTCGCGATTCGCGCGCGCCAGCGCGCGGACGCAGCGAGAAAAATGCGACTGCGTAATTTTACAATTAACGGCCACCTTTCGTCGTAATCATCGTACAGGAATGTGAACGCGTGCTGTCAACAGCGCCGTCAAAGGGAAGTGAAAATACTACGGTAACGGTAAAAAGGAGAGAAGCAAAGAGAAACGCTCGATTTTTGTTCTTCTTCGCACCGTTAATTGAACGCGGCCTACCCGCGGCAAGAAATTCGCCGGTCCAGACGGCCGCCCAGAGACATTTCGCGACCTTGAGTTACACAATCTCTTCGAGCGGGCGGTCACGCTGGCACGAGTCGTGGGTGACTTTTAATCCCGACGAATTATATCGGGGACACTTTTAGCCAGGAGATCGGCTAGATCAAGGTTGCCTTTCATAATTCACCCGTCCACCCCACTTCCCCTCTCCCCAGTCGTGACGTTGCCGGGGCTACTCAAGGTGTCGTGGAAAGATTTTGCGTCGGCAAGAAGATCGCCGTTGTGGAATTCTCCCGGACACATATTGCACGGTATGCTGAGTTAGAGAATTCGTTATTCAAGGCGAACATTTCGTCAGGCACTTCTCAGTTCCGCCTTCAGCCCGGTCCATTAACTAATGGACGCACGCATCGCTAAATCTGCAAATTGCTAATTCCAGGCGACCCGACGTGCCGTCAATTTAGAAGTGCGCGCTCCCTCAATTAACGTTGATGCGCGTCGCAGCCTAATTATTAGATAATACCCCATTCTCTCTCATCCGTTGCCGTTTCCGACGGTGCGGAAAGCAGCCGGTTGTTCAGATTACACATGCAACATGATATCCGCATTCGTAGCTTTTCACCAATTAGTTCGACACTCAATGAATACCGCATGTATGCGCCGGTATCTCGCAGCGATTGTAATTTCTACCTAGATGTAGCTTCGCAACCGCTGTTCTTGTAATAGACGGTTTAATACGCCATTCATTAAGAGCGCGAGGCTCTTAACTCAAACGCAAATTAAGATCCATTTGCACCTTCGGCGAAAACCGGCAAAAAGAACGCGATACTTAGTCGATATTTGATTAGGTCTCGTAAGTGTAGCGTGCGCGCGAATTCAGCCCGAGTGGGTTGAACTTCATTCGGAATTATGTGAAATTGCGGGCTTGCGGCAATCTTGCGAAAACGAATCGGTCATTAACTCGCCAAACCACATGGTATTGGTTGCGGGCTAAACAGTAGCCAATTGTCCGTACGTGATATCCTCGCGAAGAAATCGCGAGTTTAGCCGCGAGTTTACCGCGAGCCTTGGCGCAATGAGCGACGCGATTGAAAGGGTCAACATCGAGCGAGCCAAACGTTTGTTCGGCAATTTATAGTTCGGAGAGAGTGCAAAATAGCTTCGCTGCTCACAAATATCGGTGGTATTTGTTAACCATGAATGGTATAAATTACCGGCGGGCGTTGCGCAATACTCGCGATCTCTCTTTTCTCAGACATCGTTACTCGCCGCCCGAAGTTCGATTTCTTAATACGACCTCGAGAAGATGCGTGTATGAAAACACGAAGATCTCACCCGGACCAGTCCTCGTTTTCGGTATTCCGCAAAAAACGGCCGGCAGACCAGATGCTCCACTTGCCAACCGAGTCGCGATTAATTCATTCCGTTCTAGTTCGGGCCATCGAGAGTTCTTGCACCGTTCTTGCAACTCGCTCGAATAGGAAGCAAGGGTCAAGCTACTCGGCAGATATAATTGTTAAAATTAATGCGTTTGCCAGGGATTACCGTTACCGGTGTGTATGTGTGGGTGTGTGCATGAAACTTTCGCAGACAAAAACCTAACATGATCCATTTTAAAACGGGGGAAAGGCGAGCGATCCTTTCGCAGCGTTGAAATAGGGATCGATTATTTGCAATATGCGCCATTTTATCGCGCGCTAGATGAGAAATGGTACCATAAATCGACAACGGCAGTAGTGATCCACGTAATCACTAGAGACACTCACGAGCGGCGCTTGTTAAGTGAGATTAATTTACAATACCGGCGCTCAGTAATGTGAAATCATGCAACGCGAATATACTTGATGATCCTTTAATCACAATATCGTGTTAAAAGCCACTGATTATCACTTATCGCGCTCTAACCGTCGGTAATTGAACAAACCGATGCTTAACGACTCATTGTTTCCCCTCTTACCGGGTGTAAAAAAACCGTTCAGTTGTACGCTCATTGTGCAACTCGCGGTTAACTTACATCGTAATCTTCGCGAAGATCTCCAGCCGCATACCATTTCTACACATCGGAAACGATGATGATGATAAATGTGTTTTTTTTTTTTACCGTTGCTATTGTATCAAAAGCAAGCAAAAATCAGAGGAATTATTTTGAATTGTAATATTAACTTCTTTTCCCACCTTTCCTCTTTTTTTTATAACTTTTCATTAGATATTAAGAGAACTAAAAAGAAGCCGAAAGACTGAGAAGCTGAAATTTGAGAACTTTAAAGTCTGAGAATTGCGAAATCGAATAATTAAACGTCCAAGGATCCAAGGATCTCAGGATACCGTAAAAATTGTCGGAAATCGATGGGTTCGACGATTCGTTGAAGAATCTTGATCAGCGATTAAATTTAATTAAATGTAAATTTTCAAAATATTCTTCATGTTTATTTTGCAATTTAAAGAAGTTGTGAGGCAAAATAAATTTGATAAGAATTCGCTGAAACTTGCATTAAATATGCACCGAAATATTAGTTAATTGCTCCTGCAATTGGGAAGAGATTGATCACTCGAGAGCTAAAATATTTCAAACTGAAGCTGACATTTTATATACGT